TTTCGACAGCCACCTGATAAAATTCGATAAAATTTTTTTTTTTATTTAATAACAAGAATCTGTTGAATCAATATAAAAAAATCTTATCGAATTTTATCAGGTCGTTCTTGAGATATCTTCAATCAAAGTTCAAAACATCTATATAATTGAAGCTGCATCAAATTTTTTGAGAAACTTTGATCTAAGATATTTTAACAACCACCTGATAAAATTCAATAAAATTTTTTTTTTATTTAATAACAAGAATTTGTTGAATCAATATAAAAATTTTTCATCAAATTTTATCAGGTAGTTCTTGAGATATCTTCAATCAAAGTTCAAAACATCTATATAATTGAAGCTGTGTTAAACTTTTTGAGAAACTTTGATCTAAGATATTTCAACAGTCACCTGATAAAATTCGATAAAATTTTTTTTTTTTATTTAATAACAAGAATTTGTTGAATCAATATAAAAAAATCTCATCAAATTTTATCAGGTTGTTCTCGAGATATCTTCAATCAAAGTTTAAAACATCTATATAATTGAAGTTGTACCAAACTTTTTGAAAAACTTTGACCTAAGATATTTTGACAGCCACCTGATAAAATTCAATAAAAATTTTTTTTATTTAATAACAAGATTTGTTGAATCAATATAAAAATTTTTCATTGAATTTTATCAGGTAGTTCTCGAGATATCTTCAATCAAAGTTCAAAATGTCTATATAATTGAAGTTGTGTCAAACTTTTTAAGAAACTTTGATCTAAGATATTTTGACAACCACTTGATAAAATTCAATAAATTTTTTTTTTATTTAATAACAAGAATTTGTTGAATCAATATAAAAATTTTTCATCGAATTTTATCAGGTAGTTCTTGAGATATCTTCAAAGTTCAAAACATCTAAAAATTAAGCTGTACTAAATTTTTTGAGGAATTTTGATTGAAGATATCTTGACAGTTACCTGATAAAATTCAACGAAATTTTTTTTGTTTTAATTATAAGAATTAGTGAATCAAGATAAAAAAAAGTTATCTTCAAAGACAAAAAAAATTAACTTAATTTCACCCAAATTCTGAATAATTCTACAATTTTTAACATTTCTTATGTATAATCAACTGAATTAAATTAATATTATTGTTAATTAATATATTAATATTTTTGTTAATTAATATTTTATCTAAATTTTTCTGTATTGACAATAATTATTTACAAGAATTTAGTATTTAATGATTGGGTTTCAAAAATTTTTAATCTAATTTAGCGATTCATTAATTATTAAATAAATAAATATTCATTTATAAATTAATATTATCCTAAATTTCTCTGCACTAACTTACAAATTTAAAGATTTTCTAAAGAATTTTATTGAATTTAGTACCTTTATTTTATGTATACTAATTAAATAAATAATTACTAAATATTAATTAAATAAATAATAAATAATTGATTTAAATTACTTTGCATTAGATGTATTTTATATATGCATGATATCTAGTACTGTACATATTATACAAAAATAGAAATATATAATTATTATATTCATTCTTAGTTATGCTATATATATTTAATTATAAGTCTTACTTTATTCGATTTACTGTATATTACATTTTAAAAGAATTCAAAGTAGTTATCAGTTGATTAGGTTATTCTTACATTTCAAAGGATTATGTAAATTACTGTACTGCATTTAGTTTTGACATTTAATAAAAATGTAGAAATGTGACTCTAAGTTGTCATTCGATTAGTTTTTTTTTTTTTTTTGTCATCTAAGTATTGAATTCTCGCAGTGTTATTTGCTTTTTTTTGTTGTGTAATTAAGATTGATTATAATGCAAAATATGACTTGAAGTTGTCATTTGATTAGTTTTTTTTTTTTATCTAACTATTGAATTCTCACAGTGTCATTTGATTTTTTGTCTTTTATTTTAATTAAGTTTGATTACAATGTGAAATAAAATGTAAGATTAGTACAAGTATTCATATGAAATATATTTAAACCCTTTCTCTCGACCTTCAATAAAGTTTAATAAAATTTGATTTTTTATATAAACTCTGAATCTATTAAATAAAAAATAAATATAATATAAGCATATACTCGAAATACTTTTTTTTTTTCTAATATAAATCAAATAATAATACAACCCCAAAATGAATAGAGAAAGCCAAGATGAAGGTAAAAAAGAATGCAGTTGCTATTATGGCATGATTAAAATTGAGGACTTTTGTTATTCACAAAATAGCAATCTGTAATACGAACATTCAACCTGTAATAAATGTTATGAGTAATGCAAAAATATGCGAAAAGAAGTAGATGTAATCTTTAGCAAAAGAAAACAATTTGAAACTGATCTAGCTGTAATTACAGGTTTAATTACAGCTGTAAATTCTAATCAAACTGATTCATATATAGATCTTAAACAAGATAATGATGCTTCTGAAGATTTGTCATCAGATTTGTTATGTGACAATAATGTGTAAAGTGACCAAAATATAGATAATATCGAATTCAGTAATATTAATGGGCTTTTATATAATTTAGATGAGGTATAAGAGTTAATTTCAAAGTGATTTCAAAATACAAAAAACTTAAATGAGCCAATAGAAACAAATTTCAAAATTGAAATCAATTCAGATTTTCTTGAAAATATTTTTTTAGAATTTTTATTATATTTAGATACACATGATTTCAGAACTCTTAAAGAAAGCTTTCATCAACTAATAGGTATTGTTATTATACCATTAGAATATAGGTCTGGCTACTACTGAAATGTATCTAAAATATATTCTAATACAAGAAAGAATAAATTTACTGGTTGTGTAATGGTATATCTTGAATGTGCACAATGAAATGATAGAAAATGGAAAAAACTTGAGAATCAGCCTATAAAACAAAAAAATAAAGCTCATGCTTCTATTGAGCAATATGACTGCTTTGGAAAAATCAAACTAACTATCGATCCTCAGCAATAACATATTATTGTTCAAGTAACTTATCAACTAGCACATGAGCATTTGAAGTATGAAATGCTGAATTTTCAGTAGCAGCAAAACTGTGGATACAAAATAATATTGGATACAATATACAAAATTCCGAATTGTATAGGCGACTTTATTATCAAAATCTTATTGATGTGAAAGTATATACCAAAGAGCAAGTATATTACTGGGCATCATTTTTTATGCAGCATACATATATGTTTAATCCAAACAATCAGCTCTTGTCGACAAAAAAATATCTTGAAAATAAAAATGAATTTAAAATTCTTTATTACTTGGAAAACAACTTTGTAAAAGCTCTTGGGTTCACAACATCTTTATTTAATTGTATTGGTACCACAAACTTCAAAAAGATTATTGTAGATTCTTGTTCAAAACGAATCAGGAACATTTTGAACTTTTTGTTATAAATACAAACTGTGAAGAGTATGGAATGCCAATAGCATATCTATATCTTCTAACATGTAATGGTATAGCAGAAGCATATAATGATTCTAGAAATCAAATCAATACTCGAACACAGGTCTTGAGTAAATTTTTCATAAGTCTTTAAAATGAAGGAGTATTTCCAATATTTACTTTAGTAGACAAAGACACAGAGGAAATATCAGCTATTGAGAAAACTTGGTCAGAGATTACAAACTTACAACTTTGCTACTAACATTTAGAACATGTCATCAATCAACATCTAAAAGATAAAAAATCAAAAACATCTAGTTATTTGAAAAATAAAATGATAGAAACCCATAGTCAATTCAATTTTATCGAACCATTATGGATTCCAAGTAGTAATACTAGAAATTTGTGTTCAGATAATAAGATTTGCAAAATTATAGACATCATTAAATGATATGTGATGATGCACTCACTAATCCCAATAGCAAAAAATACCTTCTAGAGCTCTGCACAAATTTATCATTATTGCACATAAGAAATATACCAATTTTGTCACGATAATGATCTTTTAAGATTGTGAAGCTACTTATAGATTAACTAGTATAATAGGAAAGACTAGAAACTATTTGCTTGTTCAATATATTCATTAGCAATGCCTTTGACTAGAACCACAATGATTACTAAAAATCATTGGCAAGTGCTAAAATATAATTATAAGTATAATTATAATTGTTTATGCCTTAATAGACTTATACAAATCATTGTTAAGCAGTTGATAAAAGATTTTAATATCAAGTTAACTCAGTATTGTATAAACTGTAGCTTTCTATTGCTATGACAAGCATTCAAGAAAAATTGGAATAAAGCAATGAATACTGATATTGAATTCAGCATAAATAAAAGATATTATATTGATACAACTAACTGAATATGCTCCTGTCCATCATATTTGCATAGTCATTATCTTCTTTGTAAACATTTAATTACAAAAAAGAATGGAAAGCTTTTTTTACTTACTTTTTTAGAAACAACACATCATCATGATTACCCTTTGATTTTCTTTGATACTAGCAAGACACAAACAATCTGTCAAGAAAATAATTCTTGGGAAAATTTTAGATCTACAATTATTGACAATTCTATCAAAGAACTAAGCTCAAATTCCAGTAATCTACAAAATATAGAATTAATAGAAATAAATAATACAAATAATAAAATAGAAATAAAATTAACTTACTATAAAAAAATTTTTGATTTTGCCCTAATGCTGTATAATAAGAAAAGGATAATACTCATTTTGTTAAGAACTTTGATAATCTCCTAAAACCAATTGTCAAAGCTATTGAAAAATGTGAAAAAAAGCTAAATGCCCATATACAACAAAGGACATAGAGATCAAAAAATGATCTTGCTTTCTGGTTATGTTAATTTAATATTATTTTTTCACTTAAAATAGACCTATAGAATTTTTTTTCATTAATACAATAGAACTAGTTATTAAAATAAGCATATAATTATTTACTTATCTATTATTTTATATAAG